GTGTGGTGGCACATGTTAGATACCAAACACTAGATGTGGTAGCACATGTTAAATACCACACACTAGATGTGGTAGCACATGTTAAATACCACACACTGTGGTGCCACATGTTAAATAACACATACGAGATGTGGTAGAATATGTTAAATACCACACACTGTGGTAGCACATACTAAATACCACACACTACATGTGGTAGCATATGTTAAATACTACACTCTACATGTTAAAGGCAAGTTATGGTGTGTGTGTCAGGACCAAGCTGCTGCAGATTTATTAGTTCATTGCACAATAATGCCAGTTGTATAATTCCCTGATCAGTCTGCCAGGCACTAAATGACGATACTACTGTACATTATTCTGAATAAAGTCCAGAACCTTGACGTTTGTGCTCCAAATGATCCCCGTGAGCAGAAATATAAATGGTACATTGTATACATTTTGCGTTGTATATGTCTTGTTTCAGTGAAGATTGTTTATCCAAACGCAGTACTTAGAAAAGATGAAGGAAAAGAATACATTACAGGACCCTATTGAGATAAGTACAGTAGGATTGATTAGTACAGTACATTACATGAAAGCCCAGGTAAGCTAAACCAAAATACGAAAAGTGTACCACATCCAGGTAGGAATTTAATTGATTTTATCACTGAAGTACCTGTACAGTTGCTTGCACTTATACCTACGTGGTACAGTGGCTGCATTCTGGGTTGTAAGTTTAGATTACATTGGTTTTCAAGTTGGGATGCTAATGTATTATTGCTTGGGACTGTACTGCATATGTTTCTTTCACAACAATCTAAATGGGATGGATATACAGAATCTCCCTTTATTTACAACACAAACCAATTAGAATTTCTCCCTTTTTTCTACGGTGTCACTTAACTTTTTCACCCAGCTTGATTGCAGTTATCAAATATCGCAAAGTTTGAAGTTTATCTCCCCAATCGTAGTAGGAAGTGTTTGCAAGCTGTATGCTGTCTTAAATTTAAAGAAATTATAGTGTGTGTGTGATTCTTATCAGAACATTCAAACATGTAATGTATTTCGTCCTTATCCACCCTGAATTATATATATATTTTCAAGACTGAAAGCAGAAACTTAGTCTTTTTATTACTGCTTTCTAATTTTTGTGGATATTGTAGTGGATTTCTCCCCTACAAACGCTGTTTGTCGCTGAGTAGCCGACCCCGCGAATTCCCCAGTGTATGCCTCGTGGTCTAGGTCAACCAGCACCGCCATACATCACGGAGCGGGGGTCAACTACTAAGCCACGCCTACCCCCCGGTATTTAAGACCTGACCTCGTAGTGACCTCTCTCTTTCTACCTACACAGACCAGCCAGCAACACACCTCCTCTGCCGCTGCCTGGCGGCCCTCGCTCCTCCGCCTGCCTGGCGGTCCTCTCTCCCGCCGGCGAGCATGCCGACCCACAAGCTGTCCTCCTCTGAGCATCCTCACCAACCCAGGGCCGGCGCTACCCACTAGGCGATCGCCTAGGGCGCCAACATCTGGGGGCGCCACAAATTCAGGGCAAACTTGGATAAAATTAAAAATGAAGGGAAAACTGTGGTGGAGCCGTGGAGGGTCGGAGCAGGATGTTAGAAGGGGGGGGGGGGATCGGAGGGAGGCCAGGGTAGGTAGACGGTAGCCGACTGTGTTTTCTTTTTTAATATTATTCGTTAACCCCCCGGAGGGACTAACCCGGGTCCTTATCTTTGGCGGCCTGGAGAACTGTCGAGCAGTGACCTGAAGGCTGACATCTGAGGAACCTGTGGGGTTCAAGATGTTTGGTTCATCAGGATGGGATGGAGAAAGGAAACTCACAATGTGCTCTCTATATACATGTATTGGATGTACAATGCAGCTTGGTGCTGGGAAGGCAGCATGGTTACAAGCGTGATGTAGAGAGAGCTGGCTGGTGAGGACGCTCAGAGAAGGACAGCTAGGGGTCGCCATGCTCGCCAGCGGAGAGGGACCGCCAGGCAGGCGGAGGGAGCGAGGCCGCCAGGCAGCAGCAGAGGAGGTGGTGTTGCTGGCTGTGGGTAGAGAGCTGGTTGGTGAGGACGCTCAGAAGGACAGCTTGTGGGTCGCCATGCTCGCCAGCGGGAGGACCGCCAGGCAGGCAGGCGAGGGCCGCCAGGCAGCGACAGAGAGGTGGTGTTGCTGGCTGTGGCTGTAGGTAGAGAGGCGAGATCCACGAGGTCAGGTCTTAAATAGCGGAGGTAGGCGTGGCCAAGCAGTTGACCCCCGCTCCGTGGTGTATGGCGGCGCTGGTTGACCCAGACCACGAGGCATACACTAGAAATTGGTGGGGTCGGCTAGGCAGCGACAAACAGCGTTTGTAGAGGAGAATTCACTACAATACCCTTCCCTCCAGGCTGTGTAGGAACTTGTTGTCTGCAGAGTTGCATAGCACATGTGAGGCAGAACCGGGCGGTGCGTGCCTCATGTGAGAACAACGGCGATGGCGTGATGAGCCGGTCGCTGGATACAACTGTCTAGATACACAATATCTGTGGGGAGTAGAGGAGAATAAGGTGTGTGGAGGCGATGAATGCTGTGCTTCTCACGGCAGGTACAGAGTCGACAGATGCGCCTGCTGGGGTGTGTGGACCTGGGTCAGGAGCAGGGGCTGTGTCAGCAGCAGCGGATGAGGGCTGTGACAGCAGCTGGGTCCACGACAGCAGCAGGGTGCAGGACATCAGCAGGAGTACCTGAGGGAGAAAAGAGGGGTGTGGGTCACACTCAGGAACAGAGGCCGCATCAGGGGCGGCAGGGTTACTGCTGGGCCGGGGTCGGCGTCTGAGGCAGGACAGGTGTGCTGGGGTCGGTGGGACGTGGTGCTTGGGGCAGGAAGAGGCTGGTGTCTGCTTAGAGTAGCAGAGCTGCTCTAGGGTGTCTAACCTGCAGTGTAAGAGACAGTAGCTGTAGAGCCGATGAGAGCTGCTTCTGGGTGGATAAGCCAGTCTTCCATGTTGCTTGAAGACTGGGGCGTGATCAGTTTCTCCTCCATCCTGTGTGAGTGGTCACCCAGGGGTCCCATTTGTGGGGTTCAAGATGTTTGGTTCACACTCAGGATGGGATGGAGAAAGGAAACTCAATGTGCTCTCTATATACATGTTGTATTGGATGTACAATGCAGCTTGGTGCTGGGAAGGCAACATGGTTACAGCGTGATGTAGAGAGAGCTGGTTGGTGAGGGCGCTCAGAGAAGGACAGCTTGTGGGTCGCCATGCTGCAAGGCAGAGAGAGGACCGCCACAGGCAGGCGGAGAGCGAGGGCCGCCAGGCAGCGGCAGAGGAGGTGGTGTTGCTGGCTGTGGCTGTAGGTAGAGAGCTGGTTGGTGAGGACGCTCAGAGAAGGACAGCTTGTGGGTCGCCATGCTCGCCAGCGGAGAGAGAGGACCGCCAGGCAGGCGGAGGAGCGAGGCCGCCAGGCAGCGGCAGAGGAGGTGGTGTTGCTGGCTGTGGCTGTAGAGTGAGAGATACAGTAGAGTCATTAGTTAAGAGTGAAAAGAAGATTATTAGGAATTAGAAGAAAAAGTGGTGAAACTGAAATACAGTAGGAGTAGAAAGAATCTGGGCTCAACCAGATCCGCTTCATCTTTCTTATTGGTGTTTTGTCTTTGTTCTGCTCCCTTGGGTCGTCAGACCTTTGTATTAATATTGGTTTATTTATATAATGCTGCTTATTATTATTATGTTAGTTATTTGGAGTTAGTGAGCCCTTGGTCCTTGTGTAACTGGGAGGGTAGTCATTTTTTTTTTTTTTTTTTTTTTTTTTTGGTGTTAGTTAAGTGTTAGTTGTGTTAGTCTAAAAATATGGAGAGGCCTGCCAGGTTCTTAGTGGAGCTGGTTGGTCACTCTCATCTTTATTCCTCTAGTAATGTTTTATGTAGAAATGTGTATGATGAGGCAGGAGGTGGTTCAATTACTTCTTCCTGGCTGATATAACTGAGAGAGCGAGATCACCACGAGGTCAGGTCTTAAATAGCAGGGGTAGGCGTGGCTTAGCAGTTGACCCCCCGCTCCGTAGGTGTATGGCGGCGCTGGTTGACCCTAGACCACGAGGCATACACTGGAGGAATTGGTGGGGTCGGCTAGGCAGCGACAAACAGCGTTTGTAGGGAATTCCACTACAAACCCTTCTAACCCCACCATCCCTCCCTCCTTGCCTTACTGCCAGGGCGGCTGGGCCACCTCTTCCCTGTCTTTGTCGGGATGAGGCAAGGTTACCTGACCTCTGAAGTTTACGTCAAGAATTTATTATTAATGTAATAACATAATTGGTTATTTGCATGGGTGAAGTAATAAAGCCACAAGATGAAAACAATGTAGTCATGGGTTACTGTACCTACATTAGCTTATCAAAACTTTCAAGGGGGCGCACATCTAAAGGCTTGCCTAGGGCGCCAAATCATCTTGCACCGACCCTGCACCAACCAGCTCTCTCTACATCACGCATAACCATGCTGCCTTCCCAGTACCAAGCTGCATTGTACATCCAATACAATATGTATATAGAGAGCACATTGTGAGTTTCCTTTCTCCATTCCATCCTGAGTGTGAACCAAACATCCTTTACCCCACAGTACCTTGGTTTTTGAAGTACAAAGATGACATAACGTCAACGGCTAAACCGACTTATATTTAACCATTGCTTATATACGTACACTATATATGTATATGCTGAACCTTTGTGAACTCAATTATACCTTTTTTACGATTAAAATTTATCAATATAAGAAAATACATATACAAGATGAACCAATGTGAACTTGTACATCTTATTTGAATACATATATCTCTAGAAGTCTATCACTATGTTTGTACAGTACATGCTGATGATTTTACTGATTACGTGTATATCTTTACATCTATCTATCCGTTATCTATCCCGAGAGTCGATTAGTTCCCCTCCCACCTTGCTTCCCACACCACACAGGATATTCGGCGCTCGTGATTGGCTGGTCCCCCCCACACAGCACATCCCAGGCTGGTGATTGGCTGGCCGTATCTCTCCCAGACGCCTCACTTCCCAGTTCATCAACAAAGGTGACACATCCAACCTTTTGTTATTTTTTACATGCGCGCCATACTCCATACTTGCTTTTCTTCAAAGTTTTGACATCTATTGCGTGTGACCATATTGTGAGCCAAGATGACGGTAGCACAGTTCTTTGGGTGTGCGTTAATAGCCTTTGGACCTCCCATATCCATGTTTGCTCTCACAATAGCTAAGGACCCCATCAGAACTATTATGTTGGTTGCCAGGTGAGTTTTTGTTTTTATTATGGCTGACTGGAAATTCAAAAAGGGCATTTTAATGAATTATATTTATATGAGAGTGGGCAATAAGGACAATGAGTTTACTCGATAATGTTTTACTTTAGTGCTTGATATCTAGGTAAATTTGCGTAAGTAGGCCTAACTCATTTACTTAATTAAAAACACGTTTTTTTGCACAGTTCAGACTATTTCAAGACATTAACCTAACCTAGGTTAGGTTAAGATTGGATAGGTTAGGTTAAGTTAAGATAGGTTAGGTTAAGTTAGGTTAGGTTAAGTTAGGAGGCTACAGTGTAAATATTCCAGTAGACCAATCCAACTTGGTAGACCTCATACTACAGTAGCTCCACCTTGGTAGCACCTAGTACAATATATTTTACTATACTTTGAGAATCATTTAACCATATCTCATCAATGATTAGCTTATGTGATGTGCCAGATTTGTAATCCAGTGCAGTACCTGGTTTTTACTGTACATTTCTCACATGATTGGTTGCAGTCAACTTCACTCCATTTATTTGATAGTAGATTTATGGGGGTAAGGGTCATTTTGGTACCCAAGACAACTTGTACCCAACTCCATAATTCGCACCAAAGATTACTTACATCCAATTCAAGAGATAATCCATACCTCTTAGTATATATACCATGCATTTTAGCTTTATCTATGATTACAAAAAAAAAGATCTTGTAAATCTTGTAGAAAAGTGCAGTGAAATAGGGAAATGTAATGCAACGCTTAAAAATTGTTGCATCTCATTACATAAGTTATGTTATTCCGTCACACAAACATTGCACTGCAAGTACATATTTCACACTAATGTGGTTTAGAATAACTTTATTATATTTTACAGATTTCAGGCTAATAGATTTGGCAGTTTCATTTTATAAACTGGGCGATGTAAACGTTTAAAGTGGTCATAAGTCAACAAAATATAGACATGCATAAAAACAGATTGATTATCCAGTGCCAGCTTTTTGTAAACAAATCAGTTAATATACAGTGCAGTATATAATTCAGGGCTCCTCTCTGGTACTTCTTCCGGTATACTGAACTTGTTTGACATAGTGGCTGACATCGTGATATCGTCAGGAATTTCTTCTTCTGACATGTCAACGTCAAGAGTGAAATACAGTAGTAATAAAGGATATAAAAAGAAAAGAGTGAGAATATTGGCCAATGCATATGCAGTTAGTTAAGTTATTGTATGTTAATGATACTCTGGATAGATTTGTTTAAAAAGTCATGATCACGGAAAAAGACCAGTATGAGTAATGTAACGACTTGATTATGTGTCACCCAATATTCCCGCTCTTCCTATACAGTATTACCCCGCTTTACGCATTTTTTCGCGCGTTTCCCGTTCTGCGATTTACCCTGCCAGACCCGGAATGCTCACTTTCAGGCGGTCGCGTGTACTCTTTCTGGCGGAGAGCGGCGGGCAGGATGTCTTGCTAAGGTAAGCCCAGTCATCAAAACATTACTGAGTTCTTTACCGCCACCCACCACAGCCGGCCAAGTCAGTGATAGTGAGGATATGGACTTATATGGACTTTGAGGGGTTTGACAAAGAGGCCCTGCAAGCCTCTGTGGTGGATAGTGATACAATTGATACAATGATACAGGTGAGGGCCAATAATCTGCCCTCTGCCTCGGGAACCAACCCCCATCCCGTGTGCCCAGCCATCCTTTCTACTAATGTATGTGTTAAAACCTAATATTATTGATATTTCTCTTAATTATTAATTGTGTGTGCATACAATCATAAAATTAAGAAGTTAGTTTTACTACTAGCGTAGGTATTGTGTATGAAAAAGTAGGTTGGGGGTGGGCCGGGATGTTACCTCCAGTGAAAACAGAGAGAGACTAGCCTGTTTGCTGTGTTAGAGCTGGATGCGGCGCATTAAACTAGTCACTTTACCTTCAATTATGTTCAATAATTGTTAAAATGACTAAAAATTTAATTTAAACTTTTAAAATTATTGAATAGTATAAACTTCTTGATACAGTATTTACTAAAATAGTAAGGAATTTAAGCCCTAGAACGATTAATGTATTGGCGGACTGATACTAAAGCTGGTTGCCGGTCAGTGCAAGCGAAAACATGTTGAGGTCGGTTAGGTAAGAAATTCGTTAACCGAATTTTTGTTCGTTAACCGAATTGAAGATCCTTATGGAAGGCAGTTCGTTAACCGAAATCTCGTTAACCGAGGCGTTCGTTAAACGAGGGGTCACTGTAATGAACATTTACACAACATATGGATAAATGAGAATCTATTGTGTACAGTAATTAATTAGAGGAAGTTTTGCTCTAAAACACTTGATCAGATGATCATCTCATGCTTTTATTCCACCACAGTTCTTTCTTCTGGCTCCTGGCATTGCTGTTTTCATCCATCTTGTACACGCTGTCACCCAGCTACAGGACACCCTCATCTTTGGAGTTGTCTTCTCTGTCTTATTTCAGGAACTGTTTAGGTGAGTATCATTGGTAATTTTTATTTATTTATTTTTATTTTTTTATTTATTAATTTGTAGTTACAGTACATTCTGTATTTATTTATTTATTTATTTATTTTTTATTTTTATTATTTTTTTTATTACTGGCATTAGCCCACCCAGGTACAGGTCATTTTAAGCGACCCACATCAAGACCTGGCGGGCGAAAATATAATACCACTACTACTACAGTACTACCGGTACTACCGGGTACTACTACTAATAATAATGATAACAATAAGAATAATAATAAATTTAATAAAAATCAATAAAAATAAAGAAAAAATATATAATAAAGAAAATATTAATAATACTAATAAAAATTAATGCAAAATATAAATAATAATAAAGAGCCATAAAAAAAAGAAAAAAAAGAATGAGAAATGATATACAGTATGTAATTTGTGTTGTCAAAGTGGGAAATAATTGAGACCCTGCAATTGTGTGTAAATGAGGCAGCCATTTGAAAGTGAATTACAAACGAAAATTATGTCAGTACACATACTAATCATACGTCGGGACTTGAAAATATATGATTTGACAAAATTTTTACTAACTAGGCGGTCATTATGTCGGGGTGGTAGTAAGTCGGGCAGTAGCTGTGCTTCATTTTAGTCCATATAACACGCTGACTTGAACATATAATCAACGACCTCACCAGCCAAGACTCGAACCCTAGACCTTATCGTGTGACCAGGGAGCGCTACCCACCATGCCACAAGGACACTAAAAGCAATCCTGAACTATTTTATATTTCCAAAGCCTGTTCATCGGGCTGATGGCACCATGAACCTCCCATTGGGGATTGCCGTGTGTCCTTGTGGCATGTGAAGTCAGAACAATGAAACCAGATAGATAGATAGATATATATATATATATATATATATATATATATATATATATATATATATATATATATATATATATCTTGATAAAATCACGGGAAAATGGAAACAACGGATTCCTTAGCTTTTATCTTTATCCATTTTCCGTGTGATTATCAAAATTATACGTTTTCATTGTGGATTTACATGAAATAAATAAATATATATATATATATATATATATATATATATATATATATATATATATATATATATATATATATATATATATATATATATATATATATATATATATATATATATATATATATATATATATATATATATATATATATATATATATATATATATATATATATATTTTGATATAAGTATAGCATATTGGACTTCAGGAGTTGAAAAAAAATGTATAAGATATGAAATATTGTTTTGTATGATATACCATGATTTTAATACTCTGACATAAAAGAGATTATTTCAAGTTTTCAGGTTAAGTGAGTAAATTCTTTCACATGCAGTATTAAGTCTTAAAGCTTATCTAAATTACCAGTACAGTGGTCTCTAGGTTAACGAACACAATTCGTTCCAGAAGGTCGTTCGTTAACCGAAAATTTCGTTAACCGAAACCATTGTTTCCATGGGATTTTTGGTAATTGGTTCCAGCTCACCGAAAATTTCATACAAACTAAAAATAAATACAGTAAAGTACACTTACTTTGAGGTGTGCATGTAGAAGGCTCCTGGTTGATGATGATGATGATGATGGGAATTAGAATGGGGGTAGAGGAGAAGGGAGAAGAGAAGGCATTGGGGTGGAAGAGAGGTCACCCCATGCTTCATGTTGCCATTTCACCCACAAAATTTTAGTTCACTTGGTGTAATTCAAGATTATTTTCTTTAAATCAACACTGCACTGTATTATATATTGTCAATATGTAAAATAAATTTCAGAATGACCAATAATTGTACTGTAAAAATAGTTTATGTTCAAGAGAGTCTCAAGCAAGATGCTTCCTCCACTGAGCAGGGACACAAACTGACGCCATTCTGGGTGAGTCAGGTGGCTGTTTGGCGCGCTAAAGACTAGTTCCCTGTACTTCAATTATGTTAAATAATTGTTAAAATCACTACAAATTTTAATATAAGACTTGGAAAATTATTGAATAGTACAACCTTCTTGATATTTACTCAAATGGTAACGAATTTAAGCCCTAAAACCGATTACTGTATTGGCGGACTAATACTACAGCTGGTGAGCAGACGAAAACATGTTGGGAAAAATTCGCAAGGAATTCGTTAACCGAAATTTTTTCATAAACCGAAGTGAAGATTCTTATGGAAGGCAATTCGTTAACCGAAATTTCGTTAACCGAGGCGTTCGTTAACCGAGGGACCACTGTACTGTATATGTTTCAATCATTCAATTTGTGCATGTATTGGCTATAACATTTGCATCATTTGTGTACTATATACTGCACCACCCCTGTATATATATTTTAATTTTCATGTCTGCTGAGGGTAATCTGTGACTTAGAGGTTTGGTGTTGTACAGTTTACTATTTAGAACATTTCTCTGAACTTTATGTACTGTATTTCCATTTTGCTCTTAGGCTGCATTTATATTTTCAGGTTTTTATGGTTCTTGCTCATCCAAAAGGCAGAGGGAGGGCTAAGGAAGGTGAGCGATGGTAACTTACAGATTGTGGAGAACAAGAATATACTGGCCTACGGTAAGTATATTTTGCTTATGTCATGGGTTGCGTTAGGCTTACCCACGCAACCAACTCCAAAGTTTGTTTTACCAGAGATAAGACGCCCGGCGAGGCATAACTGGGACATGTATTTTTCCATTAGCGTATGTTAGCCAGCCTTTAGGGGGGTGGGCAGTGAAACAGTGTTGTACTGTTCATCGCTTCACACCCAAAAACCTCATTTTAAGTAGTATCCCCTGAGCCATGGGTTAGTTAAGACGTCGCCTCCATCCTCTCCCTCCTGAAAGGGGGCGGGACACCACACCACACAGAGTCCTCCACGCCACTCCGTCCTGTGAACCGTCGTCGACACGAGACTAAGCGTGTTAACCTAGGTTTGTTATCCCCGTGGAAATGGTTAATTAATTCACGCTTACAGAGTTCTCCTGCACGACACCCGTCTACCGTGACCGTGATCGACACGAGACTAAGTGTGTTAACCTAGGTTTGTTATCCCCGTGGAAATATCACGTGTGGAAGCCTGGTTGCGACAAAAGCAATCCAGGCTGGTCTATTGCACCTAATGGTTAATTCAAGTCACGCTTACCAGTTATACTTGCCGCGACAACCATCCACAGTGACTGTCAGTGACGCGAGACTTTGTGTGGTAACCCAAGAGTACCTTTTTGTTGTTATGGCCGTGGGAAGAAGTTCTTGTGATGAAGCCTGGTTGCAACAAAAGCAATCCAGGCTGGCAGTAAATGTATCACTTGAAGAATTAAGGCTCTGTTAAGTCACACCCATAGTAGAGTAACCACATGTGTCCCCAAGTTGAAAATTCCCTGTTTTAGAAGATTAATTTTATTACAGCGTGAACGTGAGTAAATCATATATCCATGCAAATTGTAAATCATCGTATGGAAGCTTGACAAATAAATGTAAGTGCAATTATCTGCCCGTATCTGTGATCCTATCTTATTATTACTAAAGGTAATGACTGATTGGTTATGACATAGTATAACCAATAACTTAGATGGATGTTGAAAATTAAATGAATTCATTAAATCATCATTTATCAAGTATAAATCATGGAACGTCGAGTGGTGGAGTGAACTTCTACGTAGATACGCCATAATCTCCTGTAAGTAATCAGTGTGAAGGTATCGGACTCTACGGTAAGAAATAAGAAATACTACATATTATTATCTTTATATAATATAATCCACTCATACTTACCACCGAACCACCCCAAAACCATGACAATTGGCGCCCGAACAGGGACACAGACCGCGGGTAATTGCACTCTTGTCAGCAGTTTGTGCAAACGCATATATTGTACTACGAATGATTACTAGTACATTTGAGGGGACTCTAAGAAATTTTGAATGTGAAGTTAAAGGTGGAAAATAAAGAAACAGAAGAGGACTTGTGATGTTTGCCAGAACCAGCGACGGAGGGCGAGTTCTACCTGCACCCCTGTGGCCTCTCACAGTGATCCCCGAACCCTTGAGAGGGTGGCGGCGGACATTGTGGTCAGCAAACCCAGTTCCACATCAGCCAGCTGATTCAGTATGAGGCGGTGGACTGCACACCCAAGGGTGAGTGACGGGAAGAGTACCTCCACACCTTTGGGGGTCCTCATCAACGGAGGGACCCAGTTCCACCTCAGCCTCCCGATTCACTACGAGGCGGTGGACAGTAAACCCAAGGGCGAGTGACGGACAGATTTACATCTTCATTTTGGTGGACTTCAGCTTGAGGCGGTGGACAGTAGACCCAAGGGTGAGTGATGGGCAGAGTACACCCTCACCTTGGGGGACCTCAACAACAGAGGGACCCAGTTCCACATCAGCCGGCTGAAGGAATCCTTCTCTTCACCACCGGGGGAAGTTCATTAGTCATTGCAGAGCGTGTCTAGGACCTGACCTATGTGTGGGAGTGTCCATATGTTCCGGTCAACTCGAACCTCCACGCTTCTGACGACTCTTCAAATGTTATGTAAACCTTTTCACACCTCTCTACATTTAAGAACATAACACGACACCTGTACCACCTAAACAATGTCTACATACCCTACACTACACAACAAGTTGCTGTAACATAAATGTAGCGTGTTTACGCTTAGCATGAACTATTGCTCGGGAATTGTCACCCTTGCCTCGGAGTTTCCCTCCAGCCTGAAAATCTAAAGTAAATGTTGAGGTTTTCCCTCAGTGGCGATTGGCAACTACATCCCGTTGCAGTGTTAGTGTTACACACACACCACAGTGTGAATGTTGAATTGTGTGTCTGGGCTAGGCTTTCTCTTGATTGTATACAGGTGCTGAAATTTTTATTCTCCGAAGAAAAATTTTTCTTAGTAGGGGCGATTGTCATGGGTTGCGTTAGGCTTACCCACGCAACCAACTCCAAAGTTTGTTTTACCAGAGATAAGACGCCCGGCGAGGCATAACTGGGACATGTATTTTTCCATTAGCGTATGTTAGCCAGCCTTTAGGGGGGTGGGCAGTGAAACAGTGTTGTACTGTTCATCGCTTCACACCCAAAAACCTCATTTTAAGTAGTATCCCCTGAGTCATGGGTTAGTTAAGACGTCGCCTCCATCCTCTCCCTCCTGAAAGGGGGCGGGACACCACACCACACAGAGTCCTCCACGCCACTCCGTCCTGTGAACCGTCGTCGACACGAGACTAAGCGTGTTAACCTAGGTTTGTTATCCCCGTGGAAATATCACGTGTGGATGCCTGGTTGCGACAAGAGCAATCCAGGCTGGCCTATCAAACCTACAGTAAATGGTTAATTAATTCACGCTTACAGAGTTCTCCTGCACGACACCCGTCTACCGTGACCGTGATCGACACGAGACTAAGTGTGTTAACCTAGGTTTGTTATCCCCGTGGAAATATCACGTGTGGAAGCCTGGTTGCGACAAAAGCAATCCAGGCTGGTCTATTGCACCTAATGGTTAATTCAAGTCACGCTTACCAGTTCTACTTGCCGCGACAACCGTCCACAGTGACTGTCAGTGACGCGAGACTATGTGTGGTAACCCAAGAGTACCTTTTTGTTGTTATGGCCGTGGGAAGAAGTTCTTGTGATGAAGCCTGGTTGCAACAAAAGCAATCCAGGCTGGCAGTAAATGTATCACTTGAAGAATTAAGGCTCTGTTAAGTCACACCCATAGTAGAGTAACCACATGTGTCCCCAAGTTGAAAATTCCCTGTTTTAGAAGATTAATTTTATTACAGCGTGAACGTGAGTAAATCATATATCCATGCAAATTGTAAATCATTGTATGGAAGCTTGACAAATAAATGTAAGTGCAATTATCTGCCCGTATCTGTGATCCTATCTTATTATTACTAAAGGTAATGACTGATTGGTTATGACATAGTATAACCAATAACTTAGATGGATGTTGAAAATTAAATGAATTCATTAAATCATCATTTATCAAGTATAAATCATGGAATGTCGAGTGGTGGAGTGAACTTCTACGTAGATACGCCATAATCTCCTGTAAGTAATCAGTGTGAAGGTATCGGACTCTACGGTAAGAAATAAGAAATACTACATATTATTATCTTTATATAATATAATCCACTCCTACTACCACCGAACCACTCCAAAACCATGACAATTCGATCACGGTCACGGTAGACGGGTGTCGTGCAGGAGAACTCTGTAAGCGTGAATTAATTAACCATTTACTGTAGGTTTGATAGGCCAGCCTGGATTGCTCTTGTCGCAACCAGGCATCCACACGTGATATTTCCACGGGGATAACAAACCTAGGTTAACACGCTTAGTCTCGTGTCGACGACGGTTCACAGGACGGAGTGGCGTGGAGGACTCTGTGTGGTGTGGTGTCCCGCCCCCTTTCAGGAGGGAGGGGATGGAGGCGACGTCTTAACTAACCCATGGCTCAGGGGATACTACTTAAAATGAGGTTTTTGGGTGTGAAGCGATGAACAGTACAACACTGTTTCACTGCCCACCCCCCTAAAGGCTGGCTAACATACGCTAATGGAAAAATACATGTCCCAGTTATGCCTCGCCGGGCGTCTTATCTCTGGTAAAACAAACTTTGGAGTTGGTTGCGTGGGTAAGCCTAACGTAACCCATGACAGCTTATTTCTTAAGAGTACAGTATGTACAGTACTATGGCTAATTAGGAATTTGTAAAACAGTAATCAAAATTTATTACGTACACTATATGGCAATAAGTGGAAGAAATCTTAAATTAAAGGATAGATGACTAGCCAGTGACAGTACAGTATGAGCAGTTCTTTGTTGAGCCCAAAATTTAGCATACAGTAATTTTGATTGTACAGTATAACCAAGATGAAATTCGGTTGTACATCTGGATTGTATATAAAGTATATGTTTGTAAGTAAAAGACTTTAACTGAATTCTCAGCAAGTTTTTAAGGTATTTGATATGGAAATATTCTTAATATTTTTCAGTATCTGGACTTGGTTTTGGCATGATTTCTGGTGCATTCTCTCTGGTGAATGTTTTGGCTGACATGACAGGACCAGGAACTATAGGGATGAAAGGCGATCCCTACAATTTTTTTATTGCATCGGCTGTCACCAGTTTGGCATTCATTATGCTCCATGTGTTCTGGGGTATCCTGTTTGTCAATGCCATCCACCGCCGTGCATACCTTCAACTGGCTTATGTGATTCTCTGTCACATGTTGGCATCATGCATTGTAAGTATTTTGTTTAGCTGTACATATTGATAATGAATTGAAGTTATTACTTCATAGATGTTATAGAATTTTGTGTATTTATAATACATACAGTAATAGAATACAGTAATGGTCCTCTAATTTTATAGACTGGATATACTGTACTGATACAGTACAGTAAATGGATTTTTTTTTTTATGAACTCTGGATTTTCTTCTGAAATTGATAGGTTTGAATGTTTTCTGGTAGCATGAAAGAAGGAAAAGTATTATAAATAGAAAATTAAAGGTGATGAATTTGGAATGAGATTTTGATGTTAACAATAATTTTCAGAGTACTGGTACCATGTAAACTATGTATTAATCATAGAAAAAATGAGAGAGAAAATACATGTGTTAAAACTTTCTCTGGGTAACAAGACCATCTATTTTATTGTTAACCTTGACAAAATTAATGTCCAAAGTAAAAATTTGAAAATAGCTGATAATGTTTGTGGATCATTCAACTTATGATTTGCGAGATTCTCCCACAAGTTAGTAGAACATTCTGTAGCTGAGACTTTCTTGTCCACGAAGCTTAATGTTCTAGCAGCAGGTGTCGCTGTCCTGTCAGATCAATGATAGTTGCTGCTTAACACCAAGTGAACAAGGTATAACAAAGCAGAGCTCCAACCCTAGTCTGGTAATTGATTTGCAAGTTGTGGAATCAACTGGTATGCCAGGTATGAACCTTAAGTTTAATTCACTCTTGTTTTTTATACCACATCTACCCTAACATTTCACCTGCTGTCATTCTACTAACAACATGAGTTGCCAGCACTTCTCTGTTTTGTTCTCCTTGTGGATCTTTCTCACACATGGGTCCTATTTTCCACATCAGTGTTTTGTTGTTACCTGTACACTATTAACATATGATACACTACATGTAGTTACAGTTTGTTTATGTAAAACATTATTATTGGAGGTGAGTGGTATTTCATGGCTTCATGCACTTGTCAGTTGGAGGGTTGACATTTTCCAAGAATATAGTACAGTACTGTACTGTACAGTAGGATCTCAAGTTTAGCGAGTTTTAGATTCGCGATTCATATGTTTCGTGTCACTTTTAAAATTTCCAACCTCTCAAGAATAGCTGTTTTCATTACCAGTTTTGCGAGTCAATGGAATGTGGGCAGCGTGCATTGTTGCGGTCTTTTGTTATCCGCCGACCCGCTGAGTGTTTTTTGTTTATGGCAGTTACTGTAGTTTGAATGGACGAGAGTGAGCGGTGCCCACCCGGGCATAGGTCACTGACCCACATCAGGGCCTGGTGGAAAAAAATGTAATAATAATAATAATAATAATAATAATATTTCATTGTAAATAAAATTTATAAAAAATACAAAATTGAAAATAAAATAATAAATACATAATAATAATAATAATAATAATAATAATAATAATAATAATAATAATAACACTGTGATAATAATAATAATAAATAAATACAAAAATGGAAAAAAAATCAAAAGAGAAACAATATATATACTGTATATTGTGTTGTCAATACACCCTGTAGTAAGAGAAACAATTGAGACCCTGTAATTGTGTGTATATGAGGCAGAAAGTCAGATCAGCAACCTGGGACTTGGTCACAATTTTCGTGATGCCATATGGCGGCAGGGTCTACCATTAAACATGCTTCCAATATCTTCCCAGGTGGTAGTACCTCCCTGTTTCACGAGATTCTTGTTTAACTATTAACGATTCTTGTGTATTTGCGATTCTTGTGTATTAACGATTCTTGTGTACGTATTAGTGATTCTTGTGTATTAATGATACTTGTCGACGTACAGTATTATCGATTCTTGTGTACTAGCGATTCTTGTGTGCTAGCGATTCTTGTGTGCTAGCGATTCTTGTGTACTAGCGATTCTTGTGTACTAGCGATTCTTATGTATGAGTGATTCTTGTGTATTAACGATTCTTGTGTATAAACGATGAGTGAAGTTTGTAATGTAAGTGTCGGGTGCGGTTCTGGTGGTAATGATGACCATAGAGAAGGTCAACAAGGAAAGCCCCAAGCCAAACGTGACTTCCGTAAGGGGGTAAAGAAGAGAAAATATGCCCTTGAAATGAAACGAGAAATGCTTGAAATTATCAAAAGTGGTGCTCGTACCTGTGAAATCATGAGTAGATTCATCTGCCCCAAATCTACCATACTTTCCCTTAAGAAGAAAAAGGAAGCCTTAACTGCTTCTGTGGATGTATTCTCAAGATTTTCTAGTAACAGGACATTCTCCGATACTTCACAACAAAACCTACTGCTTGTTTTAACAGAGCATTACCTTCACAAGTGGGTGGAAAGAAGAAACCGTGAGCAAGGCGACCTGTCTGGGCCACAGATAAGGTATCAGGCACGTGTTTATTATGCTGCAGTTGCACAGAAGAATGCATTAACTTCACCACCGTTCAATGTTTCTGTTGGTTGGTTGGCTGCTTTTAAGAAGTGTTATGAAGTCAAGTTTGCCCACTTCCATGGGAGAGTGCATCGGCTGATGTCGTAGCAGCAGAAAAGTATCTACAGTACTTGTCTTTCAAACTCTTGTAAAAGAGGGTGGTTATTGCCGAGACCAGATCTTCAATTGTGATGAAACTGGTAGTTTCTGGAAGAACTCACCAAAGACCACTTTCATTGCCAAGGATTAAAAACAGACAAGGGGTGTAAAGACTTCAAAGGACAGGATTTCAGTTTTATTCACAGCTAATACAAGTGGAGATTTCTTAATGAAACACTATGGTTGTTAACCGTTCTGCCCGTCCTAAAGCCTACCATCTTGCCTGTGTGTTGCAGCTCAATGTTTATTGGACGTCTAATAAGAAACCTTTATACACCGATTGGTTTGACAAGCACTTTGTTCCTGATGCCCAACAATACTGCCAGAGGAAGAACATTGACTTCAAAGTAATCCTGGTGATGGATAATGCTCCTGGACACTAATTTTCTAATTGGACACCACCCTAATGTACAAGTTATCTTCCTTCCTCCTAACACCACATCGCTTCTGCAGCCACTCGACCATGAATTCATCAGTAATGTTAAACTGTTCTACTATCAGTCACTCTATAAAGACTTTTGTCAGCAGACAGACTCTTTAGTTTAGTTACAACAAATCAAAGCAGTACTCTCTCACGGTGATCCGGCTCTATCAGATAACCAGGAGAAGGAGGAGGAGGAGATGATAGACGACCCGACTCCTAGCACCCCACCATGCCGCAACTGTGAAGTGTTATCAGTTTGTGAATTTTGGAAGAAATATAATATTAAAAATGCAGTGGATAGAATTGTTGAGGTATGGTGTAAAATTAATTTTGCAACAATGCTACACGCATGGAAGCCTTTGTTCACTAACTCCGAGGTAAGTGGGGCAGAACAGACCAAGGAAAGCGGGGAGAGGCAGTCCGTTGGCAACACTAATGGACACAGTGGAGGCAGTGTGGTCAGTCCCAGCACCGGGATTTTCGGATGTTCAGGTTGAAGATTTGCAAGAAATCGTTGGTCAACATCAGCAGCAACTGACAATTGAAGAAATGTTGGAGGAGGATAAAGAACAAGGAGAACAGCAACCAACACAAGGATGACGTTAAGCCTGGTGAACTTACAACATGCCAGCTGACTGAGGTGCTCACAACCATCACACGTCTCGGTGAACAGCTTGATTACAATACCAGGTCTCATGCTCAGAACTGTATTTGATAAGGTTTTGGACGAATGTAAGGTCATGTACATGTCCCATGTTAATGCTCGTCAGCAGGCCATATTACTCGGTACTGTGTAAGGCCCAGCCTGTTAATGCCTTGGCAAACATCACTTTAGGAGATGATGATGGCACCACCGATGATGATAGTGAAGTGTTGGGTGACTTACTGGTGGAAGAGCTGCCTCAAGGCTTTGAGGGATTTGATGCTGAGGTGAGAGGAGGTGCAAAGGAGGGAGCATGGAGAAAGCAGTAACCAGCCCTCCCTGGCTTGGAACCCATCAAGCTGCACCGTCTAGGATTTCACTGATTACATCAAGATAAGTTATTCTACAATATGAGTGTATATAATTATTGTTATCAACAATATGTACAAAATAATATGTATGAATACATTACAGTAATGTCATTTTCTTGGTGGGTTGTAGGTCATTATAGGGGGGTTTGGGTGACACCTCAGAATTGATTAGGCTTATTTACATGTACCTGTATTTCAACGTCACTCATTTCGCAATTTTAAATTTTGCGATGCTAAAACCGGTGCCAATTAGTCGCGAAACTTGAGCTCCTAATGTATTGTATTAATTGTCCCATTCACATAGTTCAGCCCTTCAATTTTATTTTTCATCATTATCATCTCCCTTTTATGGCAATTTTTCATGTTTTTGTGGGTTTGCCTTGATAACCTGATGATAGCTGTTCAAGCTGCATGGACCTTTGCAACCTCTTTCATCAACTTCTTTTCTTTGATGTTATTACTTATAACCTCTCCTCATATTATTCTCAGTCTACCCCTAGCTATCATCCCTTCCACATTGAAACTCGTATATCTCTTAACTCAAATGGGCTCGTCTACTCTTTCCACATGCTCAAACCATCTCGGCCTACATCTGCACAAAACCTCACCAATACTTTCGATACCCATCCATCCTCACAGCTCTGAACAGGGTTTTCTATCTCACTGTCAAGTTACATATCCACTTCATTTTGGCTCACTGAAGTCTATGTATGTCATTCTCTTTAGCTGCACATGTTTTACTGCCATAGAACATCACACTTCTCATGCTAGTTGCATACTGTACCTATATCCTTTCATGTGATGAAAATGTCCTTTTGCCATTACAGTATAAAGATAACAGCTCCCTAAACATTTTATATCCACTTCTGACTCTTGTAACTAAGCTGACTTCAACACCACTGTCTGCACTTATCATAGCAAGGTAACAGAACTCCTTGACACAGTCCAGGAATAAATTCCCAGCTCTGAACTTTTCCAGTCTTGCTTAAACCATGCGGGTACCTGTATATAAAGCAAACTTAAGGTCAGCACCTCATGCATCTCTTACACTTTCTGGCTTTTGAAGCAAGTATTGCAATAGTGGAGGTGTTCTACTTCACTTACCTGGTGTTTTAGGTGAGTTGCTATTAAACAGTAATTGACACTGATCTGATAAGATGTTTGAAGCCTGCAATTAGATCATCAAACCCCTTGGATAATGAAGGCTCTTCCAGGGGGTGTTTTAGTGCAGGAATCTCATGTTGCTCACCTCTTTCCTGCATCCATAAAATGGGATTTTATACTTAAGTCCTTGGTATGGTATCTTTTCTAATGATCATTTCAATCTCTTTATTTTAATTCATTTTCATTATATTTTCCAGACTTTGATAAATCCCTTGTATTCAGTGACCATCCCAACGGTGTGGATTCTTACAATCCTCTCAGGAGTATTGGCCTTTATTGTGGCTGGAGGCTCACACAGAACCATCAAAGCTGCCATAGGTGGGCACCCGAGAGTCTTGCAAGTGACCACCAGTGATGGCAATACTACTGCAACAGTAAATGAGGGATGAATGTGAAATATTTCACTTTGAGTGTGTTTCTGCTACATTTATAATTACTAGGAGGCTCAAGTAATTAGCTTGCTCTAATGGACATTCCAGTCAGTTAATGACAAAGAGCTTACTCAGTGTATATGCAGTGGGACTTAGCTGGTACAGGGCCCAAACACCTATTTAAGTGTAAGTGCATTGAACAGTTACAGGGGCCATTTCAGTAGCTAATGTTAATGATGGAAAAATAAATGATATTATTAGAGACATTTTTAGATCAAAGAATATGAATAAAGATTGTGATTTTCTAGTAACTTTTTTCCACCAATATTCTACAAACCTGCTCTTATTACAGTATGTAGATTTAGTTTAGGTTACATTAGATTGATTAAGATTAGGTCAGGTTATTATGCAGGAGAATGGTACAGTACTATATATGAGAAACCCTTCTTCACGGAACCCTTTCTCATCACAGTGTTACAAACTTGTAATTTAATACTCCTTCCCTGTTCTGCCTAATTTCTTACTTTGCCTTACCTGCTTAGGTGTACACATATACCTGTAGTCATCTTTATCTTTTGCTTATTTCATCAAATGAGTTTCTTAAAAGTACCCAAAATCTTTTTCATTATCCTATTTCGAGCTTTGTTTACTCTTCAGATGCCCCATGCACATCTCTCAAAATCCGTTAAAAATTTTGCACTTTAATAACAAGTAGGTCTCTCTCTACTTACTCTCTCTGAAAATTTCTGGTTTGTCTGCTTATTAGACCTTATCTGTAATTAAATATTCGTTAGCATAAAATGTGGTGACCATTTTGAACATCTATGGTTGGTGGTAAATTTTAGTAGTTTAAATTGTTTGAATTTATTGTTGAGGAATTATCTGTACCATCCTTGTTCATCAACCTGACAGAGTGTAACTTCAGTATTACATAGCACATACTGTGCTGATATGGCACTAAGTTCTATTTTGCAGTAAAACTCGTTGCTGATACCAAGATGCCAGTACGGTAACTATCACAAGTGCCAAAGTAGAATTTGTGAGTCATCTTTTGTTCGATAGTTTTCCCATCATTATGTATTTAGTATAATCAACAGTTACTCAGTTACACAGTAAAATTTGACAACAGTGGTGTTGATGGAATGTAAGAAAATCAGTCGAGTCTGAAACATGATGTTTTTCTATTTTTTCATTAGATAATTCTTGTAAGTGACAAATCCAGGGCAGGATTTGACTCTTGACTCATCTGTATCAGTGCAAAATTACTGGAGCAGAATATAAAAATCTCCTTTTTTCTCTCGATGTTTTTCAGGAAATGCACTTCCTGATTTCATATTCACTCCCTAGTATAACTTGCAACATTTCAGAACAAATGTGAAGAGATAACTAACAATCTGCAGGATTCAGTAGTACGTAATTTTTATCTACTGTTTGTTATTTCCATATCTTTCTTGGTCAGCCTTCTCAGGCTTGTGTCTGAATGGGGGTTCACTGCTTGTATGATTTCTTAAAAAAAAAAAAAGTAAACAGCAAGGTCATGAAGCAATGATGTTAGTAGTTCCTCATCACTTCAGGTGTACCTTGGCATGATTATGGCAACTGTCCATTGTAAGATTGACAAAGTATGCAAGTGTTTAACAAGGATTTTAAAACCTTATAGCCAGTGTAAGTGGCAGTTGAGTAGAAAAACTGGATGATAAGGTTTAGATGCACCTTTTTGTACCTCAAATTTAAAGGTGTATGTGTGTTTGTATGTATTTGTATCTATATTTATATGTATCTACAATTGCAGGCAAAATTCCCTGGACACTTGGCAGTATGTGGCATGTAAATACTGTACTTGAGGATCATTAGGTGAGAGGGGATTGGAAATTTAACCTGCTTTCTCAGATTTTTCTTTGTATTTAGTAGTGTTTTTTCATTTTGTGTTTATGACATACTACTGTATGTGATCAAAAACAGCATTATTAGATATAAACCAATCATATACAGTACGAGTATACTGTACCCATTATGAACCAGTAATAGTTGCCAGGTACTCTACAATATTGCCAAGTGTTCATGAAATTTTGTCCACAACTTAACATATGGATAAAGTTGTATTTAGTTATATCTCTTTCTGTTTGCTTATATATATATATATATATATATATATATATATATATATATATATATATATATATATATATATATATATATATATATATATATATATATATATATATATATATATATATATATATATATTTGTGTATGTATGTATATTGTATAAAGATACTTTATTTAAATTTCCTCTATAATAGTTTGGAATAGGAAAACTTTGGTTGAAATATCATATGGATTCTGTATACTGTACCATCAACAGTTGTTGCAAGAAATAAAACATAACTCATTTTTGTTTATGCTAATTCAGTAACTGGAAAATTCTTTAATGCATTGCTAATATCAAAAGCTCATTAATTAATTGCTAATAATACCATGCTAATATAGGTAAAAAGTCATATGGGAGTATTTTTTAAGCTAAACAGTCTGTGTTGCTCATTTTATAAGCACAAACAACATAGTCAGTCAAATTTATGTACCGTGTTGATAATCTTTCCCTATGTTGATTCTGATAAGTCAGTCAAATTTAAGTACCTGTACCATGTTGATAATCTTTCCCTATGTTGATTCTGATATTTAATAAAGACGTTTGCTGTACTATACTGTACCTGTATTGTGCATTTGTCACAGAAAAGAGAATAATTTGTTTAAGGTTTAAAAGGTCTTGTGAAATTACAGTACACTGAAGACTAAGGTGATTTGTTTGTTTTGTCGCATTTATTTGCATAATGTGTGAAATCTGTAATGCCTTTCCTTCATCTTTACCATACAGGTATAAAGAAAATTAAAATTTTCATTTTAGAAACTGATCTATATTGTACTGCAAGTTTTTCAGTTATTATTAGTGTGTTTTAATTCTATAGTATACCCAGAAAGTCATTAACAGTTAAAGGTTGCTGTAATAGTTTGTAATTTAAAATATAATGCCGTGCCTTGAACCAAGAGCCATTGGAATTTATTTGCACCTCCATGACAAACAATTGAGAGAAATGCATAATTAAAAATATTCAAGAACTTTATTCCTGCTGCACAAGATACTGTATAGTATTGTTTACTTATTTACTTTACTTGAAATTCCACTACATTATTCTGTTATAAACAACAAGAATTTGTGCTTGTGTACCCAAGTCTGGATGTCCCACTGTACTTTAGTTGATCTGGTCATGTAATTATGAGAATTACAACTCGTACCCTATTAGTTTTCAGTGATTGTTAAACATATAAGTATTGTACAGTGAATTGTAATGAATGTATAACTGGTTTAAAGTAAATGCCATTTTTTTTTTACTCCTTGTAATCCCTTTTCTTTGTTTCTTATGCATCACAATTTCCAAGACATTTATTATGCTATGTGTATTATCACAGTCTTGGAATAATAATTTGTCCTGGTCCTGTTTATTTGTGGTGATGTGATTCTCAAGAATCATCATTTAATATATCTGTAACATATACACATGTATGTCCATGATCAATTTATGAGCTGGGTGGCCCAGGCATTTCTATCTACAGAGCATCAGCCAAATGTCACACCCACAAATGCTCACTATCCAATGGTAAATTCTCATTCTTCACTGAATAATTCTACCATCACATACCAAGATATATTATTAAGCATAAATTTTACTACAGGTACTGTATATTCTACCTAATTATCTAATTTGAATTTAACATGGTGTTCAGTTAAGAGTTTGGAAGTGTTGCTTAAATCCTGAAGGTATGAAAATAAGATGTTCCCTTTTACAAATTTCAGTTTAGTTTATTAAAATTTTTACTTAAAACAAATTGTAAAAGTGACTGCCAATAAGAACAATTTTAATGCATGCGAGTCATATAAATTACATTATCATAAAACAGCACACTGATGTAATTATTACAATGTTCACAAAGTTATGACCAAAATTTGAGGAGAGTGGAAGTAATACTGTTTTAATACTGTGAATGGAGGAATCTACTAGAGTTTAATGTTTTGTAAACATTGCGAAAATGTTTGGTTCACATCAAAATTGAAATTTTTTTTTGAAATTGACTTAGCACAGCAGCATATAAAGGCTACTGTTGTTAATAGGAACAATGATTTAGCTATCCATATGGCATCCTTACTTATAAAAAAAATTAATACATTCCCTCTGGTACGAGGGCTGTCTGTCGAGGCTAGTATTGTGTGCTAGGCTACCTCAGAGGCAAGACAAGCTATTAGCCTTATTTTAAAGTCTGAGAGAAGACTTGCTGTAAGCTGTCCCACAAGCAATATACTGTAGGATCAACAAGCTGTATCCTGTCCATCCCTGATGAATAGATAAGAAACATCCAGGAACCTAGATTACCTCTGACAGTCAGCTAGGAGTCTGTTAAAATTAACTCCGCAAGCAGATAGAAGTAAAGCTATTAACTAGTTTTCCCACATTTAAAGGGAAGACAAATTGTCATTTCTTCATAGCATTCATCTAACAAGGACAGATATATTTCTTACAAGTTGGGAGACATGCTGTAAGCTTACCATCTCCATCAGTCACAGGGAAATATGTCATGAGCAAATTACCTCTGACAACCAAAGGAGAAAAAATTAAAGCTGTGCTAAATCTAACAAATGGAGGGAAATGCTCAACTCTTATACAGTCACATGAAAGAATACCAAATTAGTAATTCATCAGCAGATGTGTTTTCTACCACAGCCCTCATAGCCTCATATGGTCATACTTTTTCCCTTTTATTTGCTACAAGGTTTCAGGGATGTGATTGTTGAATCAAAGGAGCAGTACAGTATATGTTGCTAGGGGTATGGTGGCCACCTAGGTCCCATTGGGATCTAGGGGCAATACCCTGGTGTGGGTCAATGAAAGGTGGTGATGACCCATTGTAGCCGAGCCTTTCCGGCAATTAAAAGGTGCATTTCCAAAAAACTTTTAGGAGCAGTTTTAAATTAATTTCACTAAATAATTTAATAGATGGAGTACTGTATGTGTACTGCATTTCTTGGGAAAAATTCACATCCTTAAGTTTTACAACAGATAACCAAGAGATTTATTGCTTATACTGTACAGTAACCTGCAGACTTTTACACTTTTAACCTCCCCAAATTGTTCATGTTATCTTTTAGTGGGCAAACACTTTAGAATCCATTTTTAGCTGTTAATTTTTGTAATTTCAAATAAAATTTTAAGGAGTGTATCATTAATGTGCAAGTTAAATACAATTTGGGATTCTGAGAAACAGAACATAGAGTACCATGTGTCTGAAAATCTCATGGTTTGCATACTATTTGAGATGACAATGACAATAAGAATACATAAATGATGATAAAGTTAAGTATTACAGATATCTCAATAGTGTACAACTTAACCAAGCACACTTCACATTCAGACAGTACTGTACATAATATCACTACAAAATATTACAGCTAATGAGCACTTTTGAGTAGCCAGAGAGAGGCATATCATTAACATTAAAGGGACAATAATTAATGACAAGAAAGAATCTCGGGTTTTAAAGGTTCAAAAAACTTTAAACCGACAGAATGTGTTTAAGAGAAGGTTCAGGGTTTTAAGATGGTGTGTATTTATTAGACTATATTGTGTGTTTAAAGATGATGTATGTGTGTGTACAAGACGATGTAGCGAGTGTCTATAGGGGATGGTTAAGATTCTGCTTTTGCTGCTTCTTTGGCCTCCTCTGCCGGCGCTGCGTCCTCCTTGGCTTCTTCAGCTGGTGCAGCTTCCTTAGTGGGTTCTTCAGTGGCTGCCTCACCATCTGCATTGACAAAGATGATGTCATTATAAACAAGACAGTGTAATGCTTGCTATATGTATGACAGTCTAACAGCATGCAACTGAGATCTGGGCGATGCACACACCCAGCTAATAAAATTATATGTGGCAAATGTGATAAACAAGTAATATTGCAAGTACCGGTAAATGTAGGCCTTAATATTTATCTATCCTTCAGGTATAAAAAAATAAATTATTGAAAAAGAACTGGTATATGGATAGTACAGTACCGTATTAATACTGTACAATTTACTTGATTCACAAAATTGGTTACAAATATCTCGTGAAGAGGATGGAAGAGTATGCTGTGAGCTAAACCTTTCAGAACTAGATAATGCAAAAGCTGTTGCTTGGGTCAGAATGAGATGTTTAGCCTTGCCCTGGGAAGTTCTGGAATACTAAAGTACTGTACTATGGTAATTCCGGTAATAATAACACAATCTATCGATGCTCTTAGCCGTCTCCATCTCAATATTAATTATTTGTTTTGTTTTATCCTCTTTGCCACTGATCGGCTCGTTAGTCACTTGGGTGGTCAGTCACGTCTGTTACACACTGTTGGTAAGTACTGGGCATGTACGGGCTCCTGAATGTATCTGAACCTGCTCCAGTGTTGGTCAAGTCTACCTTACTTTTGAATATTTTGCTGAGTAATGTGGCAAATTAATAACTATTTTTATTCTTTAGTTCATAATTTGTTTCCATTCTCAACGTGAAAAAGACATTGTAACTATTTATATAATTTGTCTTATACCACCCAAGCATCAGCCATAGGGACACTAACAACTATTGTACTGTACTGTGTATCTGCATGTTTATACTATCACTACTACAACATTACTGTAATCATAAGGCCACAACAACAACAAAAACAACCATAGAGCCACTAACTACAACAAGAACTATTGACAGGAGCGGGTCTTGGGGATCCGGACCCCTCCTTTTCATCAGAAAATTACAATACTTTTTCTTTAATGCAATATTGTACTCTGACGTTTTTGTATACGGTAGTAAAAAGTAACTATTATTGACCTCAGAATATCTCCTAATATCAAGTGAACATGGCTTCTAAAAGGCCTTAAAATTTCCATCATATTGGTCAGATTAAAAAAAACTTTCAGGGGGTTTACAGTGCCAAAAAAAATTATATATATATATATATATATATATATATATATATATATATATATATATATATATATATATATATATATATATATATTTATATATTTCCTGGATTCGCCCCTCATAGGGCCACTAACAACACATCAAGGTGTCCACATCATCGTCTTAATTCTGTACGGCTGCTACACCAACAGAAAAACCTTGGATTCATTTGCCAAAACACCAACCTTTTGCTTTCTCTTTTTCCTTGCTATCATCAGCTTCTTTAGTCTCTTCTTTAGTCTCCTCTTTAGTCTCCTCTTTAGTCTCCTCTTTGGTCTCCTCTTTGGTCTCTTCTTTGGTCTCCCCTTTGGTCTCCTCTTTGGTCTCCTCCTTGACCTCCTCCTTTGTTTCTTTTACATCTTCCTTTGGTTTGGTCTCTTGGACTTTCTTCACGTCAGCAGCTTCTGCAGATTAAAATACAGGTATGTTGTAAAAAAATTACTTAATATTTCGTCACACCAATCTTCCCAATTTTTTTTAAATGAATACTAAAGAAAATCCATTTATTGCCTAAGTTATCCGTAGTATATTTTGAAAATTGTGGTGTAGAAATGAGTACAAATTTAAGGGAAGTTCCCCCAATTTCCCAAAGTACTTCGTTTTCTTTTATGTTTTTTGTAGAGAAAACAAAAAACGAAATGATACTCTAAAATCTTTTAAGATATTGGATGGTTCAACACGTCTCATATTTGCAAAGGATTTCAGTGGTCTGTTTTATTCAAAGGGATGTTTTAAGATTTAAGGGGTAGTACGTTGTTGTAGAGACAGAAATGCTAAGTGGAAAGCATGAGTGTGAATATTGAGACCACCGGCCCCCTAGTAGAGGGAAACGGAAAATTTAATATAATTCAGAGCTATAGATATTATTCAGTATTCAAAAAATTAATTTTTATTATTTTGTTTAATTAGCATTAAATGGACATTAAAATTTAAATTCGTATGAGAAATTATTGGAGTATAATAGTACAGTATCCCCTGTTTGTTTACGTACAGCGGCCGGGGTGAGTTAGTAGGAAACTGTCCCGAAAGTATTCGTTGTTTTTAACTATAATGTACGAAACACAGTATAGTGTATCTATGCATCATGTCTTATTTAAGAAAATGTAAATTCTGACAATATTTCCGTAAGAGGTGTGTATGTACCGTATACAGTGTTGGCGGTACAATAGTAACACTACAGCAAGTATAGAATCTGCATTACAGATACATTCTGGAGCCAGTACATGATCAATAACTGTATTTGACAACAGTGCGTGTAATTTTAACACGTGGCATACCGCCCAAGAGGTTAACAAGACGAAGTCAGTGGCGAACCACGAAAACGGTAAATAAAATAAAGTGTATCTTTTACCATTTGATCATGGGTTGGAGTTCTGCTGGCCCAAAACAAGTGGGTGTTACCAGTGCGATCCAGCTACGAAATCCTCCGAGTACTCTGGTTTCCTCCTGAACTAACATTGGATAAATAAAGTTCGTAACAAGGTAACACAGAACGGACTAACGGAAATCACAAATAAGTGAAACAAAGCGTAGTAACTCGTTTCCTATAAGCAATAAACGTATTGTTATAAAATTGATGAAATAGTTATTACAGTTACCCGAAACCAATTACAAAATGTACGCGACTTTCAGGGTTCTGAATCCATACATATACTACCTGCAAGAGCATCAGGATGAACGAAGTTTTCATTGTAAAAAAGTTTTATTTAGTAAGTGTAGGAGGCGGTGTCCGGAATCCAGAAAAAAGGTAAAGAAAAAAAAATCACAGAAAAAAGGCACAGAAAAACCTAACCTAACCTACCTTAACGTAACCTACGTGCAATGCCATCTTATATATATTGTGTTGTCAATGCGTACAAGTCATGTAACTTTTTTTCCTGTGCTATTATTTCAGTTCACCGGTGCCCGCTGCGCAGTGAGGCACTACGCACTTAACTGCGATCCTCACGAGGGGTGTTCATTTTATTTTTCTTGGGATGAACATATTTGTGTGCGGCTGGTGAGAAACTATGATAATAGGTGTATTAGAGTAAACATTTACTAGTATGTCTTGGGGGTAGTGGTATCTTAATAACGTATCTCATTTAATATTTTTCGAGATTTTCAATAAACCCCTTTTTATGTTTAAATGTAAATGTGGTTAAGGAGTAAGGAAAAAACTACACTGAATTTACTTAGGAAGCTAAGTACAAAAACTATCGATGAAATATTCCTGTTTTAGCAGGTAATTCTTAGTGGTTGTTTGTTGCTAAAATCAAATTAGTGATTTTTTTTTTTTTTTTTTAACAATTTGCCCCGGAAGGGGGGCATCCTGTACAAAGTGAAGCGCAAAAGCGTTTACAGCGCCCAACAGGGAAATATATTAGCTAACCGAAACACCGTAGGCATGAAGGTCACGACCTTGTCACCTACAGTAGTGGGAAATTCAGGGTTGTTTTTTTTCCGGTCCTCTATCAGACATTGTATTCTTTGCATAACAAAAATGAAAATCACAACGAAAAGAAACTTTTATTATGGGCGCAAGTCCAAAAGACACAACTACAGAATTCAGTTTGGTTAAAGACGTATCTGACAATCTGTCTGCTTTAGCAATATTAATTTTTTCAAGGTACAAACTATATTACGATGTTAGTGTGTGTGAAACCGTCAAGTGTGAACATTTCCTCCCAATCACTTATCATAATGAAAAAAAAAATTAATGATATTAAAACTACAAAATAGACGCACTACCTAATGTCAAGTAAGCCACGTTATCCACAAGCGTTTTCACAGTAAATCACAATCGGTCATGATAAAACAAATCTTATAAAAAATTATCTTGAAATGCTTTATAATATGTAATGAACCCAGAAAACTAGTGTATTTAAATGCCAGTCCTTATCACACGATTAGAAAGCTCGATATATTAAACTTATTGGCTAGCGGAAGTGTCTCCTGATGGGTAACGTTAGAGCGGACAAAACTGCACCTGCGCTTTGTTAATGCAACTGTATTTACCTTTTAATAAGAAATAGCAAAGAAAACTCTAGTATGTGCAACTGTCCCACTCTATTTAGTTTGGATAGAGTGGAGTAAATCAAATAAATGTATACATTATTATTTGTTATTCAGTTGGAAAGAGCTGGGGTCACATGAACTTTATGAAGGATGGCAGGACAGATACACGTCTTGCGTGTGTATCCCGCAAGCTCTGTTTGATGGCTCGTGACCAAACATGGCTGACTGGACGTGAGCTGGTGTTAATCTGTGAGTTTTGAGTGTTTCCATCAGGCAACTCAATTGAATTTTAACATTCCATCAAGTAAGAATCTTCCGAAACGATTTACAACTGCGATTGCTGCATAATTTATTCCTACATGTACTTACTTATTCTTCCTATGTCTATCAGGATAGGGTTTTCAGACTCGATTGTTTACAATAGTGTTCATAAATATTTACATTTGCATCTACAAGCGTTAGCCTGGAAACAATTAAAAAAATTCCACCTTCTAAAGCAGTTAAGGTAAAAATATATACATTTCTATGATGTCTGGTTAAAACACACCTTTTTTATTTTATCACCAGGTTGAAACTTCTGTACCTGAATGTTATACCTAAACCTGTACTTGTGCTGATGTTTCTGATTAAAGTTTATAATCTGAATTAACATTGAACTTAAGTAGCGACATATTCATCCGTCACTTGAACCATCAATCACAACATTGATAGTCGCAGACACGTCACAGTCTCACTGACTTGCTTCGTGTACGTCTTGTTGTATTATCGACACTAACCAGAACTCATGGTGGTGGCGGAAAGGTGCTGTAGACCGGCAAGGGCTTCACAATACGAAGGGCTAGCTGGATCGACTAAGGAAAGATGGAGGCGAGCGCAGGAATATATACCCTTGCGTCAAGTTGCCAGATTCCACTTCCCGGCTCCCGCGACAAATGTGTACCACGCGACCTTCGTGGATAAGTTTCGACACTGTATTGAAGGTCTCGAGCTGGAGTTATAACACCTGGGAATTGTGATGTGTTCGTACTCTGGGTATGTGAGACTGTAACATCGCACACACATGGCGGCCAATGATGAGTTCGAAATTGCACTGAGACTCGTATCTCTTATTCTCACAATTTCTCAGTTGGGAGGAAAATTAATGTGCGTATGTTTGGGAATTCGGATACTGATCTAGGACATGCATGAAGGTACCAATGTCATTGACACCATGCCAGGCTTATCCGGTTTTCTCTCTCCATTTGTATCCAGATTCATACTGAGGAACTGCAGTTCACATTTAGAGTTACACTAAAGTGTAACGTTATGATTTAATTGTATAAAATAATGCTGTCAAAACAATACACATTTAAAACGCAAGCAATTATGTGTTACAGTAACACATAAGACTTGCAGAAAGAAACTTATCAGTGTGGGTGAACCGAAATAAATGAATTGAATAATCATCGGGAAGAAAGTCAAAAGTAGTTATTGCGGAACACACACTACTAAAAAAAAAAAAAAAAAAAATATATATATATATATATATATATATATATATATATATATATATATATATATATATATATATATATATATATATATATATATATGTGTGTGTGTGTATATAATCAAAGACCTCACCAGCCAGGAATCGAACCCTCGACCTACTGGGTGGGACTAGGGAACGCTACCGACCAACTCACAAGGACACTGAAAGCTGTCATAGACTCTATTATATTTCACACAAAGCCTGTTCATTGAGCTGATGGTGCCGTGAACTTCATTGGGAACTGCCCGTGCCTCGTATGTAGTGTCAGTAGCTTTTTACCGAATCCAACTGGTATGAAACACGAGGTACCATATATATACTTCATTTTTAGTCCATATAACACTCGTACTTTGAACATATATATATATATATATATATATATATATATATATATATATATATATATATATATATATATATATATATATATATATATGCAAGTAAATCACTGTAGGTGCGCGTGATTTAGGTATATAATATTGGCTCAAACCTTAAATACCCTAGATCTTTCATAGACAAATGCCTGAACATTATTAAGAAATCTTTTTATAGAACTGATCCCAAGCCCACCCATGACCATAAGAATCTCTTAGTATTACCATTTCACAAAAATTTCTCTCAAATTCCTTTACAACTAAAAACCTGGAACGTCATTGTGGCATTTAAAAACTCATGCAATGTTAAACAAATGTTAATCAAGAACTCCCCCAACAACACAATTGGTTGCATTTATAAAGTTCCTTGCAAGGAATGTAATATGTTTTACTTAGGCCAGACAGGTAAAGATCTTGTAATTAGACTTAAACAACATAAATATAGTGTTAGGACAGGCCAGGAATCCAATGCTCTTTTTGTTCATTTGAGGGATAACAAGCATTGCATTGACTAGGATAATGCCTCCTCTATATTACCTTGTAATTCAATTGACAGTAGGAACATCATAGAATCTAGTCTCATTAAACATACCGAAGCATTCAACATGAATTTGAGTAATGGCATGTACAGTACAAACTGGACAATTTTGTAATTAAGAAGATTTGTAACCAGGTGAGAAGGTTGGGTCACCTTACCCTCTGACCTGACTACCGACCGTTGCTGTGCTATTTAAAGATTAGTAGGGTCATTACCTAATACCTGACCATTGTGGACCTGATCTCGCCCTCTGTATATATACACCTTGCTTTGTACTTCTCCTTAGTCTGTACTCACCCCTGAAGATGTGAATTACACGAAAGCGCTTGGGAACTTCGTGTTTTCTTCTTTCCTTGTGGTTATCAGCATATACCTAGATCACGCGCACCTACAGTGATTTATATATATATATATATATATATATATATATATATATATATATATATATATATATATATATATATATATATATATATATATATATATATATATATATATATATATATATATTATTTTTTTTTTTTTTTTCAGTTTTATGTAAAACTTTTCATCGTAGATTAACTATTAATATCTATCACTAAAGGGAATTTTATGTAGATCTCAGTAAGAAGAGGCTGTGTTTAATTCGTAGTATAGCATCGTGATATGGCCGTCGCTGTTATACATTTGGACCAGTTTTGTGTACACGCGAAAGAGAATTTGGCATGCGGAGTGTGTGGCATGTAAAGTTGACCCAACACTTGGTTTGTGTCAGTGAGGGTGACGTGAGGGAGGGAGGCTGGGTTAGGACTGCCAGCTCCACCCCTTACCGCCTCCCTCCCACATGCAACAACGCCCCGTTCTAGCGCTTGTCCTGTTAACGCCCTGATGTTGCGTCATCCCATCTTTGAATCGGTCCCAGCTCCCAATCAACGCCCAAGTTGCCTGTCAACGCTGCATCAACGCCCAAGTTGTCTTGTTACCATCTTGTTTATGCCACGATGTTTCAAATCAACGCCTTATCAATGTCCGAAATATCACCCTGTCAACACCCCAAAGATCAGCTTCCGACGAAACACCCAAACACCAGCCGTCAGTGTTTTAGTGTTTATTAATTAATACAATGATAAATTTATTTCATACTTTGTACAGTAGTTAAAGTTAAGAACCATGGTTTGGTACGAATACATTAACGGGTCCCATAGTTATGGGTCACGCCTCCTACATAGACAGAAACCCCTGGGAAGAACACACGCTACTGTTATTCTCTTTTAAAGTATTCATAGTATTTTTTTTTAGTTTAACAAATTTATTGACAAATCCTGGAGTACAGTTTGCCTATTCCGAGAAATTCAGTCAGGTCTTGACACTTCTCACTGCCACGCAAGACAGAGAGTAGGAGTAAAATGTAGGTTTTCCACGAGCGAGAGAGAGAGAGAGAGAGAGAGAGAGAGAGAAACTAGATCCCCACAGGAAAGGGGGAGCTTCCTATTTAGCACGAATCTGACCTCCGACGTCAGCCAGGATGGTTCGAGTGCGACAGTGAACACGTAGCAGTGTGTGTGACGTGTAGAGGACAGAGGCCCCTTCCCTCCACCGGATAATGGACATACTAGCCAGCACGGACCTAGCTGACCTCCGACGTCAACCAGGGCGATGTGGGTGCGACGGTTAGCACGTAACAGTGTGTTTTAGAGGCGCAGATCATTGGGTGTTGGGGGAGGAAGGGGAGGGGAGTGTAAGGTTGGGGGAGGGCCAAGGGGAGGGCAGGTGGTGGAGTGTCAGAGAGAGGGAGGCAGGTGGTGGAGTGTCAGGTTAGGGAGGGGCAGGTAGGGGTGTCAGAGATGGTGGAGTGTCAGAATTAGGGAGGGGCAGGTAGGGGTGTCAGAGAGAGGGAGGGAGGGGCAGGTGGTGGAGTGTCAGAGAGGGAGGGAGGGGCAGGTGGTGGAGTGTCAGAGGGGCAGGTGGTGGAGTGTCAGAGAGAAGGAGGGCAGGTGGTGGAGTGTCAGGGGTGGGTCAGGTGGTGGAGTGTCAGGGTGGGGAGGGGCAGGTGGTGGGGGGAGGGGAGGAGGAGGCGCAAGTGGTGGAGTATCAGGGGAAGGCAGGTGGTGGGAGGCCAGGGGAGGGACAGGTGATGGAGTGTCAAGAGAGGAGGGAGGACAGGTGGTGGGGTATAAGGGGGGTGGTGGGGTATAAGGAAGGAGGTGGGGTATAAGGGAGGAGGCAGGTGGTGGAGTGCCAAGGGAGGGGCAGGATGTGGAGTGTCATGGGAGGGAAGGAGGGGCAGGTGGTGGAGGGTCATGGGAGGAAGGAGGGAGGGGCAGATGGTGGAGGGTGAAGCACTCCTCGGGCCACGTGTGCCAGACTGTCACAGTTTATTGGAGGGTCAATTGTCCAGGGTCGTGCAGCCGGCTGTTATCCTTACCCCAGCTGCTGCCCCACCTCATCCCATTCCTCCAGACCTGCCCCATGTCTCCAGCCCTTTCCCATGCCTCCAGCCCCGCCTCATGCCTCCAGCCCCGCACCATGTCTCCAGCCCCGCACCATGTCTCCAGTCCAGCACTGTCTCTGTCCCGCACCATGTCTCAGCCCCCTCCAGCCCATGTGCCTCTCCCGCCCCATGTCCCCATGTCTCAGCCCCACTCTGTCTCCAGCCCCATGCCTCTAGCCCCATGTTTGCAGCCCCACCCCATGTCTCAGCACCACCTGCCCGCCTCATGTCTACATCCAGGCCTCAGGCCTCTTCCCGACCCTCCCGTCCTGCCCCCTCTTCCTCCCTCCCCACCCCTCCTCCCCCTCCCGCCCTGTCCGCCTTGTTGTGTGTGAGTGCAAGTCTATTGGGAGCCTTTCAATCCGACCCACTTTAACCCTGTGTGTGTTTGTCTACCCTGCCACCTGTCTCTCCATCAAGGTCGTGTCGCTTCTATCCTACTCCATCCTATCGTCCCACGTTCTAGCCATCCCGCCCATCCCAATCTCTGCCCCACACCATCCTCTATCCTTCCCCATCCCACCCAGGTCTGTCCTACTTATCTCTGCCCCGCCCCAGTTCATTCAGTCTGCTGTATGCTGCTTCTCATTACCCATTGTCAACCCAAACCACCCACCTGTCCCCCCCCAGAGACAGACCCCAGGTGCACGGTGAGTTTAGGATTAGGAAATAAGTGTCTTCTGCTTCAGGCCTCTGCCAGGTATATCACGTATCTATCAGGAATGTAACGTGGCAACCTGCAGCTTCAAGTGTCTTCCTGCAACATCTCCACGTGTCTACCTGCAACATATCCACGTGTCTACCTGCAACATCTCCACATGTCTACCTGCAACATCACTTGTCTACCTGCAGTATCTCCAAGTGCTTATCTGCAACATCACATGTCTACCTGCAACATCACATGTCTACCTGCAACATCACGTGTCTACCTGCAACATTACGTGTCTACCTGCAACATCATGTATCTACCTGCAACATCACGTGTCTACCTGCAACATTACGTGTCTACCTGCAACATCAT